CCCCCCTGAGGGCCCCCCCCAACTCATGGGACCCCCCCCAAGGGAGCCCCCCCACCGCTACAAACTTCTCCAGGACCACGAGGAGCCCCCCCCCGGGGGACTCCCCCACCCCCATGGGACCCCCCTGAGGGGGGACCCCTCGCCGTGGGGGGGTCTCGGGGGGGTCCCTTGGTCCGGGGGGTCTCCGGGGGGGTCCTTTTGGCCGCCCCCCCCTCACCTCCCCGCGCTCCCGCAGCTGATCGCGGAATGACCCCTCCCGCCCCCCGTCCCCCAGGCCACGCCCCCTCCCCCCGACGAGGCCACGCCCCCCGCGCTGATTGGTCGAGGCGGAGGTGAGAGGGGGGACGGGCGGGAGGGGCGGCACGCGGGGGGCAGAGGGGGGGCGGCTTAAAGGGGCAACGTCGCCTTAAAAGGGCAACGGGGAGGACACGAAGGGTGTGCGTGTGGGGGGAGGGGATTGAGGGGCTGTGGGGGGCTGGGTATGGGGCTGGGTATGGGGTGGGGATGGGATGGGTTATGGGGCTGCTAGTGGGGCAGACTGGGGTTATATGGGGGCGGGTTATGGGGTTGCGTGGTGCCCATGAAGCAGTTATGGGGCTGGTTGGGATTATGGGGCAGGTTATGGGGTGTCTATGGGGCTGTTAAGAGGCTGGTTGTGGAGTTGTGGGGCGAGTTATGGGGCAGGTTGTAGGGCCCTGGGGTATCTCTAAGGCAGCTTAAGAGACTGTGAGGTGTCTATGGGGCAGACTGGGGCTGTGCCGTTGCTTGTGGGGCTGGTTATGGGGTAGGTTATGGGGTCGTGGGGCAGGACAGGGGGCAGTTATGGAGCTGGTGTGAGATATCTATGGGACAGGCTCAGGGCAGGGTCTAGGGTCGGTTCTGTGGTTCTGGGGCCGCTTTTGGGGTTCTGGGGCCGCTTTTGGGGCCGCCCCCCCCTTACAAGGGGCCCCCCGGCGGTTGTGGAGGACCGCGAACCATCGAGAGGCGCGGCCAGAGCGGCCCCTCCCGCCTTTGCCCCGCCCCTCCGGGCCCCATACGTCACTTCCGGCCGGGAGAGCGCGAGGGCAGCGCGGGAGCGAAGCGGCGCCGCCATGGCAACGGCGGTGGGGGATGGGAACGGGGGGCTCTGAGGGGGTTTGCGAGGGGCCTGAGGGGATGAGAGGGGCCTGAGG